CGCACCGGGTTATAAGCCGCACTGCCGGTTTTGGATCAAATTTTAGGATTTTCAGTGCAGCTTATAGTCGTGAAAATATGGTAATTATTTAAACTTCATGTCAAAGTAAGTTTGCTAGCAAGTGTGTATGAATACCTTTGTTCTGTGAATTTAGCATGACTTTGAGGAAATATGAGCTTCAAGTGCCAATAGAACTTTTGTTCCCTGAAAAAAAAGAAAACAGATTCTTAAAATTCTTTTTATTACAAATGCAATGGCTACTGCTCTGTATAGAGAAAATTCAAAACAAATAATAATAATAAGAAACCTATTCAGGGCTTGTTCACTTGGGGAAGTATCGAAAGTCTTAAATTGCTCCCACTTCAGATTTTATTTACATAACCAAAATCTAACCCAACAGGCAAGAAAATCAAGTACTACCCCATGGCTCTAAGGTCAAAGTTACTTCTACATCTTAGTATGGCTTAAACCTAACTGCTGCTTTCATTGTATTTAAGAACTGATGTTTCTATTCCTATTCCACGTGTATGTATACATAAATAAAAACAATACAATGCCATAGGTATGCACTTATTTTGATATCTAGTTAATAAAATAACAATCTATCAACAGATCACAAACAGAAGCAGTGTAGATCAGTCTGTTCCCATGTACGATAAAATATTACATCCAATTTGTTGGATGTATCAGCATGGAGATATTCACAGATTTTGCAATCTTTACTTAGAAATAAAGATGCAGGTTTTGTAAGGATGAAAGAAAACAATTTTACTTTATAAATTAGCCAAGCAGGCTGGGAATAATCTGAAAAAGAACGATCTTTGGAAGAAAGCAACTAGCATTTTTAGAAAGGAGGGAAATTGACTCATGACTATAAAAAGTTGGCACATATCAATAGAAGGGGAACAAAGGGAAGAAAGCACTGCAAAGGATTCTGAAGACTCTGTTTCTTCTCTACAAATATCATGTCGAAGAAGTAATGGGACTTGGAGATGACAGGTTGTATGTATGCTGAAATTGTTCTCAAAAAGTGTGAAGTCTCTTTGTTAATATAGGCCTAACAATGTGCAACTAAATGCTGGAATTATGATATCTAGGTCATGTAGGACAATAACAAGGTGCTTTTCCAGAGTTAAGTTTCTGTGAACTAATTTATGCAAATGATCAATTATGCTTACTGACATTATCTCATCACTCTAGGCAGAATGTAAATACAAGTTTATGGAGCCCAAGTATAATACTACTGGAAGTTGGTTGGTCTGGCCCATTGTTTTTAAAACAACAGTAGAGAGTTGGATTATGTATTTATTTACATAAATTTAAAAACACCTGACTCTATGATACCCTGAAGTACCTTCAGGATTGCCTATTTGCCCCTTAACTGTTTCAGGAAATTTTGCTCTACCTAATCTCTTTCTATTGTATTACTTAGCAGTAACATAGGATTATGAAATTATCTTTTCAATTTCTGTTCCACTGACAAAATGTAGAAGCATTTTGCAAATCTTAATCTATCATTGCAGCGCTATTTCTCCTTACTCCAAAAAGGCACAATTAATAATCCACCTCTGTTGGTATTAAGGGAAACAAAATTTGTGCCGGGACCAGTGTTTTATGGGATTTTATCATTTCTCTGTTGTGTTCATTTGCAAACACATCATTCTACAATTTTTCTTTGTTGGTTGCTTCTTACAGTTAGATGTTTTCACTTGAATGCTTTCATTCTATTAACGCATAGGAAAACTGTCTCCAGAAATTCTTAGCATTATGCAATTTTGCCAGCAATATTAGAGCCACAATAACTGAATATGGGAATAAAAGCATTAAAGCCCTTCTCCAAATATAAAGACAACATAGAAAAAAAACCCATGTTTTATAGAAACATATTTTTCACTTTCAAGAGATTTATAAACTAGGCATTAAATCGAGGATGAGAGGGTTGCAGCTCTGCAGATGTTTATTGTCTCCATTCATGAGTCGGGGACTAATAATGTGTGAAAGGCTTTAAACAGCCTACATCTGATAATATAAATTCCAGCTTAAGCTGTATAATTTTTCAAAAGTGAATGTTGATATCCTGGAGCTCTTTCTTTCTAGGGCTGTGTGGGCATTAGTGAAGCATGTGTGAATCAACACACAGAAAGACAAGGGGAGAGAGGAAACATTTAGTAAACTGCACCAAGCCTTCCAGAGGATGCAGTGACTAATATTGGGAGGAGAGAAGTTTTGCTTGGGCTTTACCATTTATGAAGTTTCCTTTGAAACGTGTGTCTCACCCGGTTTGTTTTGTAGCCCGGTGCCACAGTCTCCCTTTTTCTTAGAAGAAATTCGGCATGATGAAAAAGAGAACTAAATGAGTATTTCTTTACCCAGGAAATTTAATTAGGCCATTACAATTCACAAGATTATGGAACAAATTTAGCAGTTTTTAAAGTAAGAACAATTACAAGATTCTTTAGGCAAAAGAAAAGGAGATGAAAAGATGTGGAAACTTAAACCAGAAATTATCTATGCCAATTTTTGTATTTACATAGACAGCAGCTTAAGAAAGAGTTGAGTCAAAGTAATCGTGAATGGGGTTATTCTTTTTAACTACTGATCGGTTGATATAAGCATGAATCATAAGTTCACTGGACATAAGCCGTTTACATGCCAAGCATCTCTTTGAGCCAATTCGATTATGTGTTTTTAGGAAGTCTATGATGTTGCAAAAAGTACTATTGTGGTTCATTAAGACAACAAGGAAACCAAAGGAATGGGGAGCCATAATAATACTGAAACGTAAACTCAACTCTTAATTCTATTCAGAAAAGTACCATAAAAAAGAATGGCAACATTTTCGAGTGACATAATTGAGGGTTCAGAAACTTGTTGCTGTGTATTTAAAAAGTATTCCACAGAAGTCTGTGGACTCTGCCAATGGAAACTAATGGGAAGTAGCAGCTAAGGGAGAAATAAGCAATGAGCATTCTTTCTCATGTTTAGTCCTGCTTTGTTTCTTGGTTGCCATTTATGGGGGGGGGATGGGGGAACTTAGGAATGTGGTGCCTCAGCTGCTAGTCAAAACATCTAAAAGCCGGTGTGTGAACCAAGGCCATGTCAACGGACACCTGTCGGAGCTGAACGGAAACTGTGGCAGAATTGATTAGCCAATATGACCTAAAAGACACAGGGGGGGGGTGGGGAAATCCTAGTCTTTTAACTATCCCTAAGTGTGGGAACTATTTCAAGCTAGCTTCACTTTTCTAAGTGCCGAGATGATAGCAATAGCAGTTAGACTTATATACCGTTTCATAGGGCTTTCATGTACTCAATAAAGAGTTTCTTGAATCTGAACAAAGTGTCATCGTCCTGACTTCCCGGTGTTCATTACTTGGAACAATGATACAGCGTGCAGCAGTAAAAAGCCATAATTACCTCATTTTACAAAAAATATTATCTTTTATGATCTTCTAAGCATCAGTAACACTGATTCAGCCTCATTAAGTGATTATGGGGCATGACAAACTGTCAAAAACTTTTTAATTTTTTTAACGACACTACAATTCCTGGGGTACAAATATGATAGGTGAAATTCCAAGACCATAATCATTATTAGAGGGGGCCAATATCAGTCTTGTATGTGACTGTGTGGTGTGTGCTTTTGGCCATAGAGAGGGCTGGATTAAGAGTCTGCACAGTCCATAGCTGGATGGGAGAAGCTGGAAAGAGATTCAGGATAGCCACATCCTAGAACTTCTTGGGATATATCTAGTAGATTAGAAGGTTATAGTTTTAGTTGAGCATGGTTCTATTCATTAGGCATAAGCAAAAAAGGATTGAACCCAACTGTGTCATCTCTGAGCTTAGGCCTGACATCAAGCTTGCCAAACTCATAGCATAACTTTCTAACCTATTACGGTTAGGGTAATCCTAATCCTAATAGGTTAGGATTACCTATTAGGGTAATCTTGAAAGGTTTTAAGGAATGGCTACCCTGAATCTCTTCCTCCTCTCATTTCAGAAATGTTCAATCTCTTAATCTGGACCTCTCTCTGGCAAAGATCTAATTTGCCAAAATTGTTTCCTGTCGCTTTTCTAGGTGCACATTCCTACCACTGTACACTGTACAGGGGAAATGTAGTATTAAAAAATGTTCATAAAGACAGACAAATCTCTCTTCAGCACAACTTGTCCCCTAACTGCCATGTTGCTATCAGGATACTGAATTTGCCAAGTTAGATTGTAACATGAAGAATACTAGATTATTCTTTCAACCTGTTTGGGGGGGATGAGGCCATGGGAACAATAGCTCAAATTGTATATCAAAACAGTTATGATGCCCAATTTGATCTAGTAAGACTACATAACGTTGTGATATAATTAAACATATCATGATTTTTTTTTAGCAACCAACGCTACTATTTTAGGAGTTGATCAACATTTTTTTCTCCTAAGGCAGCATCTGAAATAAATATTTAAAAGTGTACAGATCATTGTGTAAGCAAAACTTTTTATAAGTGATTACTTCATTGCTACAATGATCTGTATTAACTCACTGAATTGGATCAGAACTGAAAGGTATTCGAGCTATGTTGCTGAAAACAGGAGCAAGATCAGCACATTTCTATTACAAAATTTACGTTTTGTACAGATTACATTTAATCTAACACTGTCTTGATTACTAAAATTGGGATTTTTGCAAGTTTTGTGATATTCCTACTTAGATTTCTACTTAGAACATAGAAGTATATTGTCCAGTATATTCATTTCTTGTTACAAATGCCTTACAGTAACATGAAATATTTGCAAGAGAGCCATCTGTTGGTTTCCAGAATTATAGCCAGTTTAGCCTCTGCAAGAAACAAAGAGTCTTGTGCATAGATGCATAGGTGTTTGTGGATCAACATCTATTTCATTCACTGAAAGAATAGTTATTATTAGAACAGACTGTGCTATAGTGACCGATTATAACATTTGTATAATATGAAGACATGATTTATAGATAAACAAATACATGTCTCTGTTGTTACACAAAAGCTCCCCCTCCTGTCTAATTCACAATTATACTCCTTGAAAACAATGAAACGTATTAGCATCTTGTTGGCTGAAAAATCATCTTTCTTTTCTATCATTCTCTGTAATAAAGCTAGAAAGTTTGTTTCATTCTACTGTTAATATCTCTATATAATGATTACAAGATTAAATGCATACATAGACAGTATACACCGAGAAAACATAAACTAGTCGAAGGGCAACTGTATTCAGAATGATGAAAAGCAATCGGAACCCCTGTGGGTCAATGAGGAAAATAATTCAGATGTTATAGCCGGATAATGTCTTATTAGGATGAATCAAGAAGCCCTTTCAGACTTGTGTGGTGATGCTGTGCACCAAATAGGTAAGTGGCAGAATATATCGGACATTGCAATGAATTTCATCGCTTGCTCGCCTTAAGACACTTACATATAAAAGCCATCTTTATAACCCATGTATAGAGTCTCCAAGCAGCACACAGGAGAATCAAGAGTTTTGCTAAGTTAACATCCAAGCTAATAACAGCTAAAAACTTACTTATTGCTGTAGAATGTAGAATTCTCTCGTCTTTTTGTGAAGCCGATTGGTAGAGTTTGTAAGCAGATCTTGCACCTCCGAGCTCGGTTTCTCAGAAAGTTTACCTGGTGAAAGATGCAAGTTTTCAAATGACAAGCATAAGAATTACTTTCAAATATGAACTACTTTAAAGAATTATTTTGAGAAACTGTAGTTTAGCACCACTAGGCTTCACGCTCAAGACCCATTTTTTGTTTGTTTGAGAATCGTGGAATCTTTTGCATTCATTTAGTTTGTCATCATGTCTAAATCTTGTTTCAACCATGGTGAAGATTAAGCTTAAATTTTAGTCACTAAACCAGAAAAAAAATATTCCAATCTCCTCATTGGCCAACTATAAAACATAGGAGTGCCATATTTGTCCTTATTTTTTTTTAACAGTAAACTATAATTGAATGTTATGTTGAAAGCAGATGTATTATGTTTTACAGAATAGATAAGACACTCAAATCATTTCTATGTGAGGATCTTTGCATTCAAGAATATGTGGTCCTTAATCACTAAAAGCTAACAAGATTGGAAACATATGCAGGATATGTATTGCCTTTTTGGGTGTATAAGGCAAAGCATAGCAAATCTCCTATACAAATCAAAAACAAACCCTTGAAAACCTATTGCTATTTTGCTGTAATTGCAGTTGTTTCTTGCATTTCTAAATGAGAAACTTCCACTTTGCGAGCCATCATTCCCTTAAACTGTCTTTATTCAGCAGAACTACATTGAGTTTTTACTTGTGCCTTCAAAGTATCAGGCACTGCTCCCAAATAGATGCTTCCAAGTAAAATCAAACATCTTAACTATTTTCCTTTTTACAGTCATTCAACCTAATCATTCTGCAGATACACTTCCTGCTTCTCCCAGCAGCACTTATCAAAGAGGAAAAAAGAAGGTAGAAAAGCACATCTTTCAAGCAATAAAATAGGTTCTTCCTGCAAAATTCTTGTATGTTTTATGCAGAATATGGGTTTATTTATAGTTCTAAAATTTTTACCATTGTAACAGAAGTGGGTTCCTACTGGTTCGGCTGAGTAGATAGTAACTCGGCTTGCCACGCCGCCAAACTGGTTTGATTATCGGCAGCGCCATCTTGATTTTTGTTTCTGCACATGTGCAAAACAATCTTCTTTGCAAAAATGTAATTTTTTTCCTCTTTTCTAACTTGCGCATGCGCAGACCTTTTTAGGTGCAAATGCACACATGCGCAGAGCACACGTGCAAAAAAGTTTGTAATGCTGGCAGCAACCCCTCTGCACTTTAACATGGAGAAATGCTCTCCATTTTGAAGTGTCTTCAGTACATTAGCTCCTCCAAGGATATTCTAGTAATTTCTGTGATTTCTCTTTTTTCTTTCCTTTCTATTTGCTTCAAACTTAACAAAGATAAGAGCAGGGGCTTCCACGTAGGGATATATGAAGTCCTTCACTTATGACTGGCCATTTAGCAACTGTTCAACGTTACAATCAACCTGAATGAGGGGAATTAGGACTTATGACCTGGGTTTGAAGTTCCAATGGTCAGACTTTCTTCATAGTCATGTGCCCAATCTTTGGGTTCTTGGCAATACAGCTGCATTATGATTATTTGCAATGTCACGCAGTCATGTGACTGTGCTTTACAAAGGTTTTGCTGAAAACTTACAAATCGATTACTTTTGGGTTTATGAGAAATAGCATCTCGAGCAGCCCGGTCAGTCATTCTTCCCCCATCTTCTAGAAACCGATAGTCTAAAGAAGAAAATCAAGGAAAAGGCAAGGAGTCATTTTACTGAAATATAAGTGATGTTGATATGTAAAAATACATATAAACAGTGTATTCAGCATTAAAATGTTCAATGTATGTAGGTTAAGATTTTGCAATAACATTTAAACACAGCTATTATTATTTTCAAAGTCAAACACAAACCTATATGACCCCAGGAAAAGACAAATTTCTTTAAGGAGAAGCTGAGCTATCGTGTTTTATTCTGATTTTTTAAATTCTGTATGCTGATTTGGTGTCATTAGTATATTCTAGATCTGACTAGTCATTGACTGTAAATAAATTTTATTATTATTATTGCTGAGAAGTGTAGTGTACATATTCCATACCTGTTTTCAAGTATTTTTTCAAGTTTTGGAGTATGAGCATCCCTGTTTTTAGGCTGTTGGTTTGCGCTCCATGTTTGGTAATTTGGTTGCAAACGGTTCACCGACAAAACCGCGCCCGACTAAACCGCGCCCGACTAAACCGCGTCGCTGACGTCATCAACAGGGCGACAACAGCGCTGAGAAAGAAGCACGCTGTAAACCCTAAACCTAAAATTAACCTCTAAACCTAAACCTAACCCCCCTAAACCTAATCCTAAACCTAACCCTTAACCTAANAAAAAAAAAAAAAAAAAATCTGTATTTTTTTAAAAACACCAAATTCACCAAAGTGATTTTGTGTCTTCCTGTTTTACACAGTATCTGATTACTTAAAAAATACGACAAATTCTAGATGGCTACAGAGAGGTACAGAAAACTCTTATTTTCTTGGGCCCATCTAAGTTTTCCAGTTTTTGTAGCTCAGATAAGGTAGCCTTTCCCCTCCTTGTTAGGTATATATCATATTCCAGCTCTCTGACAGATGATGGCTAATTTTTTTTGCTTACCAAGTAATTTCACAAGAGTTCCAATTCAATTAAACATGCTTTTTGAAAGTCTAAATGTATAAGCGGCCAGAGAAATCTTTTGGAGCAAAATAAGTCTGATCACAAGTCTTTCTTCTATACATTGCTTTATGTATAAAATCAGAGCATGATGCTCTTTTTTTACATGGAACTAACTCAATTTTTAATTTAAATTGCTGTGAAGTTTTTCCTTTCAGAAAGGCCAAGTGTCAGGCATTTTCTGAATTGTGCTGTGGACCTAGATCAAATTGACCCAAACATAAAGACAGTAAATTCTGAGAAACCATTTTTAGGTACAGGGAGAGCAGGACATCTTCAGGATTGTCACTATAGAAGTAGTGACAGTCCTAAAGAAGTCCTGTTCTTCTTCATATGGATTACTAGTTGTACTTTCTCACTTGTATGTTAAGATAAAAGCCTAAAATAACGATGACAAATATTTGTGAAAAGCATAAGAGCTTTAATAGAGCAAAGATGCCTTGATGGGAAATAATGCAAAGTAAGCCGAAGAATTTTGTAAAAACAGTATGATTGATGGTTTTGCTTTTTAAATGTGTTACATCTAATATTTATTTTATTTACATAACTGTACTTATGGAGTGCAATTGCATTGGTATTTTCACCATGAGTAAATGTACTCTGGTCAGAGGGAGCTCAAGATCTTACATGAACTGGGTTCAAAGATTGTAGACTGCAAAGCTCTGAGCTACAAAGTGAAATGTAATTTCAATTTGTTCAATGGTTTCCAAAATGGATTGGCTGATATTTTTTTNCTAACCCTTACCTTAAGTTGAATCGGCTTGCTTTCAAAGCGCTATTTAAAGCATCCTTCTTTCTCCGCGCTGGCTGTTGTCACCCTGTTGATGACATCAGCGACGCGGTTTAATCGGGCGCGGTTTAGTCGAGGGCGGTTTTGATGGGTCACGGGTTGCAAACATTTTGTCACCATTCAAGGAGACATTGTCAGTGCATTTTGAGTTTAAGTCGGCAATATAGCTGCATTATGGTTGTTTTCCGTGTCCTGCATTTTACAAAGATTTTGCTGAAAACTTACAAATCGTTGCTTTTAGGGTTATGAGAAATAGCATCTGGAGCAGGAATTCCAAATGCACTGACAATGTCTCCTCAAATGGTGGTGAAACATTTCCACCAAATTGCCAAAGTCGGAGCTCAAACCAACAGCCTAACAACCCGAGCTACTAATATTCAAACACATTTCATCCCCTATTTTCAACTGTGGTTGAAATATGCTATGCATTTGAAATTTAAGTATCTCTATATGAGCTAGGATTCTTTTTCAGTGAAGAAATATACTTACATTGCCTCATTCTCAGTCTAAAACGTTCTCAACCTATCTTTGTGTTCTATCCAACATTCTCTACTGTGTTTGTTTTAGGATACTAGGACAAACTACACTGTTAGTACGGTAGAAAGGAGCTTAGTATTGGCACAGTAGCAAGATTTTTTTTAAAATAATTCTTATACTTTAAAAAAACTCCACATAGCACTACACTAGTCTAGATCATTGCTTATCCCAAGCCCTACAGTACCTTAGGTAGTTTACTGGATTCTTACCACTTAGAAGAGTTAAGTTGCTGAAGTCATTCACTGAAACAAAGGCCGCCTTTTCTCTGATTCCATTACAGCTGTATAAAGCTTTATGTTTTTTTACACAAGCCAAACTGAAAGCACAAAAGCAAAGGAACACTGTTATTTTATTTTCAGCCACCTAAGATTTTTTTTAAAAAGTCTTTGGTTTATACCTACCTGCATGAATATTTCATACATCGAGGGCATCTGTATTTTGCTATTTCCATATTACAGAGTTCACATCTAAAAAAATGAAAATTGAGATGGTACACTTAGAGTGAACAGCACAGAGAAAAGTCTTTACACAGGGGAATATTGGAAAAGACAAACTAGTTAAGAAACATTATCAGAACTTTTCACTTCTGTTTAAGTGCAAATTCCCATTAACAGCCTTGGCTCTCTCCTCAAAACTGATTTATTACAAATTAATAAACCGTCTCAGGATGTCTTTGCTATAACAGCAGTCCACTGCATTTCCTGCAAAAGGTGTTAAAATACTGTTACTGATAATCTGAGCCCCTTCAAGCTTCCAATGAGCATCAGCACAACAGGGCTCCACATCCTGTTAATGGCCGCTCTCAGAATTCTGTCTTATCGTTTGTCAGCAGCATCCTGGTAAATGTTGCTTTGTCGTTTCTTGCCAGTAGAAGCAACTAAACAATAGAAATTCTTTCCCATGGTTTGTTTAGCATGAGTAACTTGGATTGGTGCCCCATCAGCTAGAGATGATGCATCAGAGCTCCAATTGGCACATCACACTAAATCAGAAATACACAACCTAAACATCAGCACTTTGTGATCTGCTCTATTGTCAAGACCCCTGGCTAGGTCTTGTAATTGATGGCATACTTATATTAAATTTTTTAAAAATCAAATCCGAATAGAGGGTTTCTGCACCACATGAAATCAAATAGTCACAGTAAGTGAGCCTAGCATTGAGATGCCACTATTCTAAAATAGTTTGAGAGACCGCCTTCTGCCAATTACCTCCCTGCGTCCCATCAGATCGCATAGAGTTGGCCTCCTCCGTATTCCAT